AACATTTTAATATTAAGTTTTAATAAGCATAGCTATTATGTTTTTAATAGGATGATAGGTTTTAAGATTTAAATGAGTCTACCAGTCAGGATGATGAATTAATTATTTAAAGGCACTACCAGATCAAAGTAATAACTTGCTTTCCTTTTCTGAGGAGTAAATGTTAGACTGGAGGGTATTGTTCAGGATGGCTCACTCAATCTTCCTGGGCTTTAAAGGGGTTGAGGGTCCAGAGGGATAAGGCTACGAGATGCCTCTATTAAATAATTCCACTTGAAGTTGCTTTATATATATATTTTTTTTTTTCTTTTTTTTTAAGGTAAGATTTTCCATTAAAAGAATGTGCTAAATAATAAAGAATGGTCTTTGAATGCCATGGTTCTTGTTTCCTGGGAGGGAGCCTCTAAATCCCTAGAATTTCCTGAATGATAGGAGCATCTTTCTTACTCACTGTGAGTTCCTAAGCATATACCTTTGTTAAGGGTATACTCAGCATGGGGGCTGGCCACTCCAGAAGGAATAATGTTGTGATTAGATAGTTGGGGCTTTGAGTCACATGATATCAGCCCCACCAGGAAGCACGGAAGGGACTGGAGATAGAATTCCAGGAGATGGTTAATCATACCTTAATAAGTAAACTACTAAAAACCCTGGAAACCAAAGCTCAGTTGAACTTCCTCGTTGGTGATTTTAGTGGTGAAATGGCATTAGTGATTGAACCTCAGTTCAACAGTCTTGGCACTTCTGGTTTGCTGCTTTTCTGGGCCTGTAGCTGAAACACAGCTGAGGCCTAAATGTCATTAGTTTGAACAAAACTCTGTCCCTGTGGTCAACAGAGCCAAGGCTTTGTTCTTAAGATAATTTGATGTGGGCCAGAATCTCCTTGTCCTGAGAGCTTAAGGGAGTGGTTATGCAAAGTCTTGAATGGGAGTAACATGAGGTTATTCTTTGGCCTACTTGTTCCTCCTCTAAGTGGGGGGTGGTCTACTCTTACCAAACAGCAAGTGAGATCCTGCTGCCCACCGCAACCCTCTAGGCAAAATTCCGGAGGGAGAGGTTTGGAGAAAAAGAAAGGAGTCTTTATTCAAAGGCCACACAATTTAGGAATAAGAGCTTTCCACATCTATTAGTCACTTCAGCTGATCAACTAAGGCTGAAATCTTTAATTCTCGAGTTCCAGCTTTAATTGCTTATGCCTGTCTGTTTTAAGGCCAAAACCTTTAACTCTTGAGTTCCCCTCTCATTCACCTTGCTGGTTTTTATTTACCTTATTTCTATAAGATTAGTTTACAAAATAAAACAACATAACATACAAAAGCTACAGAATTTTGGAAGAATGGGAGGCTTCTGCATCAGAGATTGTCCCCCTAGAACACCCAAAGAAAAATAACCCTGCCACTCTTTGCCAGGCCAGAGCAATCCTAGACTGTGCTCAGAATTCCTTTTCCCATTTAAAATACCATCCTAAGTGAAATAAGCCAGTCAGAAAAAGACAAATACCATATAATTTCACTAACATGTGGAATCTTATGAACAGACTGAGCTAACAAGGAAAGTGGGAACAGACTCATAAGTGGAGAGCAGACAACAGCTAATGGGAGAGTGGAGAGGTTGAGCAAAAAGGAAAAAGAACTCATGGGCATGGACAACAGGGTGGTGATTGATGGGGGTGGGGAGTATAGGGGACTAAATGGTAATGGAAAAAATACAATAAAGATTAAATAAAAAATAAAATAGTTCACAGTCTTGACTATAAAAATACATTTTCTGAATCCTTTTGGAGCAGGGTTTGTCTTTGACCCTTTGGTCTCTATTTTGATTTTTTATTATTAGAATGAAAGTATAAGAAATACAATAAAATAGATAATGGCCAAGAAAATAAAACTCAAATGTTAAAGTGTTGGTGAATGCTTATCAAAACTCTTTCAATCGTGTAAATAAATGGGGGTGAGAGGACTTGCGCTCCAAGAACTCGCTAACCATCTCTTCCTTCTTCCCTTCCTTAGCATAATTCTTTTTACTTTTAGCTTTAGTTAGACAACTGCTATATTACTGCAGTATCATACTAAAAATTTAAATAATAAAGGTGAAAAGAGTATATTCTGAGCTACAGAATCCCACTTTTCTCTGAAAAAGAAAATACCATCCTTTGGGAAACTCAGATGGCTACATCACGGTTGTCCCGGCATTCTCAGGGTAAAGAGAGAGCCAGTCACTGCCTTCCTTCATTTAAATCTCCGGCCCATAATTCTATGCACACTGGAGGCATTCAGCTTCTCAGCCAATCTCATCCTAGACTGTTCAGTGTTATAGGGTGGTCAATGATATGGACTGTGAAAGAATTCACAAAGAGAAGAAAATGCAGAGGGCAAAGTTTTGTATTTTACTTCCCCAAGAGAGGGAAAGGGCTAGGTGCAGAGATATGCACCAGCATTGAGGGATGGGGGCTTTGAGCTTTTACTGGATTACAATTGGATTATAAAAGGGGGGGGAGCTCTTGCTGATGTGTGGCCCCTAGGCTGTTGGGGGTGTTGCAACATAGGAGATTTTGGGTATTTTTGAATTTCAGGTAGGTCTTCTGCAGTTTGAATATGGTATTCCTAGATGGTGGTGTTTTGACATTTATCTGCCTTGGTATCCTCAGAGCTTCCAGGACCCGTAGTTTGGTGTCTCACATTAATTTGGTGAAGTTCTTAGTCATCGTTATTTCAAATATTTCTTCTGTTATTTTTCTTTATTTTCTGATATTCCAGTTATGTCTATATTGTACTTTTTGTAGTTTCCCATAATTCTTGGATAATCTGTTCAATTATTTTTCATTTTTTTGTTTTTGCTTTTTAGTTTTGGACATTTCTGTTCACATATCCTCAAGCTTAGAGATTCTTTTCTTAGTCATGTCCAGTCTACTGTAGAGTTCATCAGTGGCATTCTTCATTTTATAGTAGTTTTGATTGCTAGTACATCTCTTTGATTCTTTTAAAAATTTCCATCTCTGTTTACATTGCCTTTTTGTTCTTACACAATGTCTCATTTTTTCCATTAGAATTCTTACCATATTATCATAGTTTTAAAAATTCCTGGTTTGATAATTCCAACATCCCTGCTGTGTCTGAGCCTGGTTCTGATGCATGTTTTGTCTCTTTAGACTGTTTTTTGCCTAATACGTGTGCCTTGCTGGGAAGTTAGACATGGTGTATTAGATAAATGGAACACCAGTCTGATGGTAAGTTGTCAGTGGAAAAGGATTCTGGATTCCTCTGATAATGTCTCAGACTCATAGTGAACCTCTGCCACTGGAATGTGAATTACTCACATGGTTATCCATACCTCCTGCACCCCTTAGCTGGAACAGAGTGGTCAGAGTGGGTTGGAGTTGGGTATTTCACTTACCTAAGATGTGTTAAACTCTGGTAAAACCCTAGGTGGTTAGTGGCTGGTAAATAGTTTCTCTTGAGACTAATGGGCCTTATTAAGAAGAAAATGCTCTGATGTCTCCAAAATGGTTCCTATTCTTCTCCCCCTGCTGGAAAGGCATGGAAACTTTTCTCCTGTAAAACTCACAAAAGTGTGGGACTTCTTTGACTGGGCCCCTGTAGAATTTTGACTCTCAGACTTGTACTCACTTAGCTTCCAGTAATTTTTTTAAAACATTTTTGTTGACTTAAGCGACAGACAGACAGAGAGACAGGCATCAATTTGTTGTTCCCTTCATCCGTGCATTCTTTGGTTGATTCTTCTACTTTCCTTGACCAGGGATTAAACCCACAACCTTGGGTTGTGGGGAGATGACGCTCTAACCAACTGAGCTTTCCAACCAGGGCAATTTGTTACAGTTTAAATTTTCATGTCCTCAAACTGGTTTCTGGTGATGTTTCTGGTTATGGGTTTCTGCTTCAAGTTGTGATTCTGTGTATCCACCTGTCTTTGTTTCTAATTTTGGGAGCAGTGATTTGCCCTGTGATCTCACTTCTAAGGGATCTAAGAAAAGTTGTCAATTTTTCACTTTTTAGTGTTTCACTTGTTAGAATGGAGTGATGATTTCTAAGCGCCTTACATGCTGGACTGGGAACTGGAAGTAATTCATTATTTTTAATACCTGCATCTCAACTATGTCTTGTGTCTCCTTGTCTAGAAAAACTTGATTTGCCTCCAGGAAAAAAAATCCTCACGTATTTTCTTAGGTGGAGGCGAGATGGTTGTTAGAGCCCTTGATTAAGGAAGGCAAAGTAGGGACCTACCTACATTTCAAACAGCATTAAACCCATTCCACTTAACTTTAAGTCTTCTTTATTCTTCACTCTGAATTGCAGACTTACCAGTACTTGAATTTTCTGGGAATTCAGTGGTGTAAAAAAGTCTGGTTCTTATGCTTTTTTTCTTATTGTCAATATACGAGTAACGTTTCCTGGATCTTCTGAGTGATTTATCACATACCTATATTGTTATATAGCTTTTGAGGTATTGTTGCTTTTCATGTTTTTCCTGTCTTTATATCTTTAATTTGTCAAGTTTTTATTTAAAGGACATATTTAGTTCAAGCTTGTTTTTCTTTTGTTCATTTCCCCCTTATCAGAACCCAGAATCAAAACTAGATAATTAATTTAATTACCTGAAACATTTTACAGAGATCTGTGCCTAGGCATATTCCTTCACTGGTAAATATAGCTAAGAATTATTTGATAATGAAAATATTATTTTTGTCTTTCTATGTGCAGAGATAGACCTGTATATAATTTTTTTTTAATAAAGAAAAACCAAGGGCTTATTCTTAACACTAAGTAATAAGCAACAAATGTGAATGGGAAAAATAATAGTGATATAAAGGTGCCCCTCCTTCCTTTTAAGGATGAACTTGAACATCTTATTAACCAGACTGCTGGCATTTATTATGATTTGTTATTATTTGATTATACGACAATTTCATGATTTGAATATGATTATTTACCTCTTATGTATATGTAAAAAATAATATTTCTGCAATTTCTTTTTATCATATACAGAGAAAGCAACGAGTGAGATGAATACTGCTGAAGACTGGGGCCTCATTTTGGATATTTGTGATAAAGTTGGTCAGTCTCGCACTGGGTAAGTGTCGCAGAGTTTCAAAGGATTTTTATTCATTTTTCCTTTTTATTAACATGAAATAAGAATCAGAAGATTGAACATATTACAATTATAACTTTTATTTATTTTTATATTTATTTTTAATTTAATTTTATTTTATCCTCACTCAAGAACATTTTTTTCATTCTTTTAGAAAGAGAGTTAGGGGGAGAGAGGGAAACACTGATTGGTTGCCTCCCATACGTTTCCGGACCGAGGATCTTTTGTGCCCTGTCCGGGAAGCGAACACACAACCTTATGGTTATGGGACGATGCTCCAACCAACTGAGCCATGCTAGCCAGAGCCAATTACAATTTATTTTAAAAGAGAGTGTTTTTCCTTGAAAAATGTGAAGAATCATCCTATTTAGATTACTTCTTATAACCAGTTAGGGTAATATGACTAAAAAAATGTCAGTACTTTAAACTCTCTTTCCTCCTGAAATCTAGCCTTTTCTACTGATCTTTAAAGTCATCAGGGATTTCTCAGTTATAAAGTGTGGTGGTGATTTCTGAGTTCTTCTCTTTTGTCACATCACAACATTCTACCCAGCTGATCAGTGATTACTGAAAGAGGTACTTGAGGGAAGTAGAATATTAAACTTTTTGGCATATGGGCTTTTGTGCTAGAATACAGAGCTTTCTCAACAGTTCAGTGAATGGATTGACTGGTAGGTAGAGTAATGATTTCCTTAATTCCCAAGCTAATAATTCCCCAGCTGTTAGCAGCCTTATTTATGCCTTCTTACCTCACACATGGTGTCTTATTCATGTACTTTCACCTGAAAAATTTTAGGGAGCACTACTGCGTTATACTTCATTCTTCTGGTGGTAATATTAACCTCTGATGTACCTTCTTTGGCTTTTCTTCCTTCCCCTCTAAATACAGATAGTTTCTTAGACTTTCTTTGATCCATTTTTCCCCTAATGCTTTTTTCTTTTCTAGTACCTTTTCTTTTGAAATCTGGCAACTTATGTTATGTAGGTAACATATGTTTTTTCAGCTCTAACTTTTCGCACTAGTCCTGTGGATACAGCGTTATTTCTGGATAATCATACTGTATAAGCCTTAATCTCACCATCTCTAAAGCTGAACTCCTGTCTCTTTACTCTTTAAACCTACTTTCCCTCTTTTGTTCCCTGTTTCTGTTAATGAAAAGATTATTCTTTCATTTGCACTTAAAACCTCAGTCAACTGCCACATTTATTTTTTTACCTAGTTCTGTCAGTCTGCTTCCATAATATCTCTTAGAATGTTGATGCTGTAAAGTCTCCTTAGTTAAGTTCTTGACCATGGCCAAACCAGGTTGGAGCAGTTTCTCTTCAAGTCCCTTTTACCCCTTCACTTTAGCCCTTTTTGCCCCTAATGTTCACCTGTTAGGTTCCCCAAAATGTGGCCTCCAAATGTGGCCTTATCCATCCCTTTTGTTGTCTTTATAGTGTAGTATACTGTCTTGTTCTTTCTGACCTTGTTAGTTCCTTAATATAATCAAAATTTGAGTAGCTACTGTGTTCTTTGTACATATCTATTCCTTTTTCTGTATTTCTCCTCTCTCGACCACTTTACTTGAAACATTCTTTACCATGCATGGATTTGTGAATTGACCTTCTGTTACTTCTTTCCACTTCATCTCATATCCAGTTGCTGTACAAAAACTGTGACGATGTTATTCTCCTTCCTTCTGTATTGAACTGTCTAACCTCCTTAGGCCTCTAAATCATTTTTTTCCCCAGTTACTTCTCTCATACATACCATTCTTTTCAACTCAAGCATTTGAGTTGTCAGTGCTTTTCTACCTTAATGTAGTGCTATTGGTCATTCTGTTTATTCAGTGTGGAATATTTTCTTCTAACATTTCCTATCTGTCTCACATCCTTCCAGTCCCATTATAGATATTATTTCTCCCACAGAGCCTTTCCTTATTCCCTTTACTGAAATCATATTATAGTCCTCTGAATCCTTAAAGCATTATACCAAAACAATTCTTACTTGTTTTGTCTTTTATAATAGTAATTTATATCTATTTAGTAGACTTGGATTTGTAGAATGAAAGGTCCATGAATTTTTATTGTACAGAGGAAAGAAGCAAGTAGCTTAGTGGTTGAGATGATGGACTTTGGAGTGAGACTCCCTCGGTTCAAATCCTAGCTGTTACCCCCTAACTACTTACACGGGGTAAGTAACTTCCCTTTCTAGTTTGCTACATAATGAAAATAATATCTTGTTCATAAGGGGCTTGTTTTGAGTAGTACCTGGCACATGGTTAAATGGGTGCATCTCTTCTTTTTGATTAAAGTTGTATTTTGTAAGACAGTTTGTTGAGGAGTGAGTATAGGCCTAGCTCCATCCCTTTGTATTTTGGAGATAAAACTTTTATCTAACATTCCAGTTGCAAAGATTCTTCTCTTTTTTTTCACTCTGTTGGTTTTCTTTATCTTTATTTTGGTGTTCTTCATTTTGTAGATAATTTTTATAATTTGGTTAGTTGCTTGACATAAAAAGACAAAACTGCATTTCATTACTAGAAATATTCCTTTTTTTCTAGTTAAAAATAAATTTATAATTCATCTGAAATTCTGTATGATGGGTAATGAAGATGAAGCAACCAATTCGTTTTTCTTAACTAGAAACATTTGTTTTTTTCCCCCTATTTTATGTTAACTAGAAACATTTGTTTTTTTCCCCTATTTTTTTTTTTATGATGAGAACTTTTAAGATCCACAATCTTAGCAACTGTCAAATATGCAATAAAGTATTGTAATGGTAGTCACTATGCCATACAATACATCCTCAGAACTTCCTTATAGCTAGAAGTTTGTACCATTTCACCACCTTAATCCATTCTGTCTGCTGCCCCCGCCCAGTCTGTTCTCTGTTTCTATGAGTTGTTTTATGTTCCACATATCAGTGTGATCATAACAATATTTGTCTTTGTTGACTCATCTCACTTAGTATCAATGCCCTCAAGGTTCATCCTTGTTGTTCACATATATTTAAAATGTACTTATTTATAGCTTTAAAAAACTTGTTTGTCTTTTTTTTAAAAATCCAGTATCCATAGGTCTAGATACATGCTCATTATTTATTTTTTAAATTTAGCCAACATACTTTCTCTCAGTATATTTCTTAATATTTCAGTCATCCTTTGGGAGTTTTAATTGACATTATGCTAAATCTATAAATTTACTTAGGATATATTTTCAGCTTTGCTAATTGAAATAATGAGGGGTGGTTTTATTTTTCTTTTTAATCAGTATTATTTCCTCTTCCTTCCTCTCTTTTTTTTTGGCAGTATGGCTCTCTAGTTCCTTTAAATTTTTATTAAATTAATTTCTAAGCATTTATTTGTGTAAATGCAATATTCCTTTATAGCATTTATTAATAAAGAATTGTGTGAAAATGATTGAATAATAATTTATATCATTCTAATATTATTGAAGTTATTTTTAAATGTCAAACACTCCATATTTATTCTTATGTGTGATTTCTCTTCAAAAATGTATTACATAAGCATCAGGGCCACTTTAAAACTCTCATGGACACTTGGTACTTTTGACTTCCTGGATTCCTTTCTCCATTAAAAAAAAAAAATTATGATTTCATTGTTGTAAAGACAAGTATGTTATACATTAAAACATTTTTGTGGGCTCCTAAAATAATTGTGAGCCCTTTAGGCATTGTGCCTGTGTGCCCAAAGATTGTATTATAGAATTGAGTTATATATTATCAGGGTAACTTAATAATAGAAAATTATTAAGGTTTTTTTTTAGGTGCACAATAAACTCTGGAATATGTATGAAGGAGTTCCTAATATGTCATTTATTTGTTGGTTGGTTGATGGATTGATTGATTGATTTGAGAGGGAGAGAGACATCGATGTAAGAGAGAAACATGGATTGGTTGCCTCCCATACTGTCCTTGACTGGGGATCGAACCCTAAACCTAAGTATGTGCTCTGATGGGGGATGGAGCCGCAACCTTTTAGTTCATGGGAGGATGCTCCAACCAACTGAGCCACTCTGCCAGCACCCTCTCTAGAACTTCTGGTCATCCCCAACTGAATCTCTTTACCTATTAAACAACTTTCCATTCTCCCTTCCCCCAGTGCCTGAAAACCACTTATAATTTAGTTTTAATCTTTTAAATCATTTTATAGTTCGTGTATGTAGAAAACTTAATGGAGATCTATCTGATTTATATTTTCTAGGAACCTAGATACATACGTTTAGATATGGGTTGTTGATGGTAGGAAGGTTGTCAGTGAGGTATTCTAGATACCTGGTATGCTTTAGAGAAGACTGAGACGTTATTGGTGTGAAAGAGGAAAAGGGGATATGAGTTTTCATGAGACAAATTTAGACAGGGTAGGTCAATGTAGAGAGAAGTTAGGAATTGGAATGCAATTTATGAGGTTATTTTTATACTAGGGAATAGTCTAAATTTTGTTTTAAGTATTACCATTTGGTATTAATCTGTTATTTTATAAAGTGTACAAATCTATTTAAGAGGGCTGATTTAGGGATGGTGAAGGGAACTTAGGAAAAACATTTTTCTTTCAGGTATTTTTTTAAAATCAAAATGATTTGTAACCAGCAATATATTATTTAATGCATAAACAAAATAAGTCTTTCTTCCACAAGGAGATAATTTGTTTTTCTTTTTTTGTTAACAGTCACCTGTTTAGAGTTCTGGTAGTTTGGAAAATATTCTCAAGTTTTAAAAGGAAAAAGCCATTTCTGTGAAGTTTTCTTTAGTTAGAACTATGACCCAGAAACAGGGCTCCCAGTGGTGTATCGAAAATCCCCCCTTAATGCTTCCTCTTTTTAAAAAAGCTTACTGTTCTGTTCTTTAATTTGCACATGTGTATGTGTGTGTCTTCGTTGATTTAAAAAAAATCATAGTATCTTTATGTAATACAAGTGTACTTTGTTGTTTTAAAAATAGATACATATTCACATGGCTCGAAATTTAAAAAATTTCA